TGAGGGACAGGGAAGCCTGGTGTGCTGCAGCTCATGGGGTCCCGAAGAGTTGGACACAACTGAGTGACTGAACTGAACCTCCTAATTTATCTCTCCTATATTTTTGTATTGACATCTAGTCTCTCTGATTTATCAGTGCTATAATCAGTGATGTAACTGGGTTAGCCTGGAAAGCATCAGGAGAAAGTTTTGCCTGATAACTAAAGCTCCGGAACAATGTCATTGTCATCAGCATTGGTTTTGTGCTCCAGGAAAAAAACTCCAAAATTAAAATTTTTTTTTAAATTATTTTTTGACTTTGGGTTTTTCTCCTCAATACTATGGACATATAGTTTTATAGGCCTATTGAAATTTAAGAAAATGTGCAAAAGAAATGAATTTCTGCTCTTTTCCGTGAAGCCTGATAATTTTAGCAATCCATTGCCCTATGAGATACAAGGCAACTCTGCTTCCTCTGTAGTCTGTTTTTTCTTCCTTTCTTTCAAAATAACCTACCATCTTTCCAAAATAAACATGAAGGGGAAATACATGAGTGTGTATGTAATCACCCAGATATCTGCAAGGGCATGCCTCTAAAAAAATAGTAAAAATAAAATAGTCATCAGAAATGTATTCTGATTTTACTAGACTAGTGAGCATTCTTGTCTTTTCTTTATCAGATTTTTTTAGAAGAGACATTTACATTCATGTTAAAAGTTTGCTTAAGTGAAAATTAAATAGCTATCTGCCTAGAACTTATTTTCTCATAATCTTAGATTTCTGAGATTGCGATTTTGCTTGTAAAACAAATTAATTGTTCTACAAATTTTTACTTTCTATAATTACAGCATCATCTTTTTCTATTCAATATTTATGAAGCCTCATTCTAGTGATCATATCTATTGACTATGTTTCCGTATAATTACCTTCATTGCATGTCTTAATCATAAAATACATGTTTAACATTCTTTTTTCACAGGAGAAGGGGATGACAGAGGATGAGATGGTTGGATGGCATCACTGATTCTATGGACAGAATATTCATTTTTAGATACCTTGAATTTAAACATACATTTACAATTCCCTTTATTTTTTAATATTTAAAATTTTTATTTTTATGATTCCTTTTAACCCTAAAGAGTCAGGATATTTAAGAAAGTGTCTAGCTTTATCCAATCCAATGAGTCTAGTGATTAATTTTATTCTTTTCAACTTATGGTTCAGCAAACACATGATCACTCTCCTCTTCCTTCTTTTCTTCATTTGCATCCTTTTCATCATCAACAATTATTTAGTTCAGTTCAGTTGCTCAGTCGTGTCCGACTCTTTGTGACCCTGTGATACGATTCATGGGGTCGCAGAGTCGGACACGACTGAGTGACTGAACTGAACTGAACTGAATACTGCACAACAAGGCTTCGAAGTCTTCAACTTCTGTCCTTAGATCTCAGAGAAAGAAGTTGAGCTAAGAGAACAGTCCTGACTCATTCTCCGTCATTACCATGGCCAGGATGGACCGTGGTAAGCACAGGATATACTGATTAATAAAGACCCTGTTCTCTTGGAGTCTGTGCTAAATTGTAGGGAGCAAAGTAAAACTAACTGTGTGCAGCAAAACTAACTGCCGAGCTGAGGAGAGTTTTGCCAAATTGTTTTCACTGTGTCATAAGATAAGTATTAACTCCTCCTCTTGGGCCAGTCAATTGTTTTTGCCCAGACACATGCTTAGGAGGCCTGAGGATGCAGATTATTAATACAAATCATTCTTATCTTGTCATTAAAGTCACGAGGACTTCCCAGGTGGCACTAGTGGTAAAGATTCCACCTGCCAATTCAGGAAACATAAGAGACGTGGGTTTGATCACTGGATCAGGAAGATTCCCTGGATGAGGAACGGCAAGCCACTCCAGTATTCTCGCCTGGAAAATCCTGTGGACAGAGGAGCCTGGCAGACTACAGTCCGTAGGTTGCAAAGAGGCAGACATGATTGAAGCAACTTAGTACAAAGTGGCAATGATACCAGTTTTTAAAATGTCCTTAGGAACTGTGAGAATCTTAAAGGTAAAAAACCAAATTACAAAAACTTACTTCCATTTTGGCCATTTGCACTCCGAAATTTCTAATCACCCTGAGAGTAACATGCGGCGTGTTTAGACCTTCCCTTCCCTTTGAATGTTGATTTATTATGATTCTACTTGCTAACTGGACTCTGGAGGGAGAGCCCCTGGGTGGGTGAGGAGATGGAGGCCTTGGCTGTGGGCTGACCTTAGCCGTCCCTCCCAGTGGATCTACCTAGAATGAGCAAGCCTCCTCACTGTGGGGCTAGGGCTTGACTGAGGTTGGAGGTGAGGTAGGAAGGACAAGTCACCTCTGTCCCAGACCCAAGAATTCCAGGTCCCTGTCTGTTTCCCCACGTGGCACTAATGGTAAAGAACCGTCCTGTCGAAGCTGGAGACATAAGAGATGCAGTTCGATCCCTGGGTTGGAAAGATCCCCTGGAGGAAGGCATGGCAACCCACTCCAGTATTCTTGCCTGGAGAATCCCATGGAGAGAGGAGCCTGGTGGGCTACAGTCCATAGGTCACAAAGATTTGGACACAACTGAAGCTACTTAGCACACATGTCCGTTCTCTGGAAAGCTCAGATGATGGCTCATGTTGCAGCCAGTGGAGGTGGCACCAAATCTCTTTTATGAACTGTTTACCCAGTTCATATAAGGGAAGAAACAAGAGAGAAAGAACCGTGGCACATACCTGCATGGTTTGTTTCTGTGTGGGAACTGGGGCTGACCTGGGTCTGGAGGCTTTCCAGTTCATGGATGACTAGGTGGCTGCTAACCCTCCGTGCTGGGGATCCTTGGTTGCTCCTGGAGCCGTCAGACTCTCCCCCCAGGAAACAGACTCATCCACAGTCATCCTTGCTTTCGTCCACTAACCGAAGCTGTCAGGGATCAACAGGAGAAAAGGCTCTGAGCGACAGGACGAATGCAGGCAGGACGTGGTGTTCTCTTCACAGAGGGGGATTCTGAGGCTCTGAGAAGCCATGTGTGCTCTCCGGTGGGTCTGGCTGGTGAGGGGTCAAGCTGGGGCGGACCTCCCATCTCTGAGTCGGGAGGCAGTTTAGAGTAGCTTCACCAGTCTCAATAGGCTGCGAGAAGGGGAGGAGGTTAGAGGCCCAATGAGAAGGCAAGACAAGCAGCAAGGATGGAAAAGGGCAAGAAAAGTAAGTGGTTCCAAAGAGAAAGGAGGGGAAGAAACAAGAGGTGAGTGCTCGGGCACTGGGTTGGTGGTTTGTAACCCAAGGGGCTGGGGAGGGGGCAGGAGGCTCCCTGCGGATGTGTCTGTGTCGGCTCCAGGAGGAAAGGGATGGGGGTGGCCCCTCTCCATGTCAGCCACTGGGGGCTTCTCCTCCTTAAAGAAGGCATCACCGTGTTCTGAGGCTTACTCCTGGCACCCTCAGAATAACAATCAGCTCCTTCGTACTGGAAACTGAAATCCTGGGCCTTTGAAAATACAATTTTGAAATAAAAGAATGATAAGATAGTACCATGGCACCTGAAGTCACACTAACATTTAACTTCCTCTTTGCCTGTCTCTATTCCATACTCAGCCTTGAACCTTAAAAGCAGGAGCTTGTTCTGTTCAGGGTTTTATTACAGCACCTAGCACCTAACTCAAGAATGGGCACAAAGCCGTGAGCAGGGAGCTGAGGTGTGTGTGTGGGTGTGAGGACACGATGGGGATGACAAGCTAAGGGGCCTCTGGCTTTCTGGGCTAGACCCAAGCACTTCTTGGTAAAAACTTGTGGGTCAATAATCCTTCAGGAGGATGGAATTTTTTTTTAATTGAACTATCACTGAGACTTCCCTGGTGGTCCAGTGGTTTAGAATCTACCTTCCAGTGCAGAGGACACAGGTTGAATCCCTCCCTGGCCAGGGAACTAAGATCCCACATGCTGCCGTGCAACTAAGACCCAGTGCAGCCAAGAATAAATAAAATAAAAACTAAAATAAATTGTATCATTGATTTACAATGATGTGTTAGTTTCAAGTGTACAGCAAAGTGAATCAATTATATATATATATACATATATATATACACACACACACACATACGGGCTTCCCTTCTGGCACCAGTGGTAAAGAACCTGCCTGCCAAGGCAGAAGATGTAAGAGATGTGAGTTCGATTCCTGGGTCAAGAAGATCCCCGGGAGGAGGACATTTCAACCCACTCCAGTATTCCTGCCTGGAGAATTCCATGGACAGAGGAACCTGGTGTGCTATAGTCCATGGGGTCACAAAGAGTCAGACATCACTAAAGCAACTTATAGCATACATAGATATATACATGTATATATATGTGTGTATACATTGTCTTTATGCTATATATACAGATATATTCTTTTTCAAATTCTTTTCCATTGTATTTTCTTTCCATTCTCTTCTAATGTATTATAAAATATTGAGTAGATTTCTCTGTGCTATCCAATAGGTCCTCTTGTTTATCCATTTTATATAGAGTAGTGTGTATCTGTTAATCTCAGTCTCTTATTTTATCCCCTTAATTTATTCTCACCTTGCTTTTCCCCTTTGATATCCATAAGTTTGTTTTCTAGGTGAGTCTGTTTCTGTTTTGTAAATAAGTTCATTTGGGCCAGTTTCAGATTCCGCATAGAAGTGATATCATATGATATATGTCTTTCTCTGCCTGGCTTACTTCACTCACTATGAGCATCTCTAGGTCCATCCATGGCATTATTTGGAGAATGCAGCTCTTTCGAGGTGGAGGGAGCAGCAGGCTGTCTGATGGTTTGTCACCACCAACCTGGACACAGCAGCATCCTCTTCTTTGCCCACCTGATGGGTTTGAGGTGCCCTAGCTCATCTCACCTGCCCAGGTGCACGCTGGAGGTGTGGGCGGGGTGGGGCTGGGTGAGATGGGTGGTTAAACGTGCCCCCCGGTTTGTGTAAGATGCTTCCACAGGGGCTGGAACTTGAGTCTCTTCTGCTGTGAGACCAAGGCTAAACCTTGGCCCCATCTGCTGGCTTCTTCTCATCCTGGATATCGTCGGAGGAGCAGGAGAGAGGCGGGCACAGCAGGCTGTGTGGCGTCGCTCCTGGGAATGGCTTTATCTGTGTCCTTTCCAGCACGTAGGCTTTGTAAATAGACCGGGGTCCCGACTTCCCTGCTTTGTTAGTGCTGCTATCGCCAGGCCCTGGAGCCACCGGCTTTTCTGTCAAAGACACTTGTTTATGTGTCGTCTAGAAAGCCAATGACTGCCGGGAGGGAGGCGTGTGTCGCGAGGGCAGGCCAGGGGTGTCTTGTCTCCTCTTTTGATTCACTGGTCTGCTGGGAGCTCAGTGGTACAAAGCAAAGTGAATGTCGTAAGCCAGGTTTCCACAAACAGACAGATGCTAAATTGCATCCAGTCTTCCGGTCAATTGCCAAGCTTTGCTTTCTTCTGGGAGTGGACTTCCGAGCTGTGTTCTACTGTCAGGACTTAAACCAGCTTTATCCACCTCATACCAGGTACCACTGCCAGAAAAGAAGAAGTAAAAAGGAAGATAAACATTAAAAAGAGAGGAAGGGTCAGGTTGAACAGGGTTATCCTTTGCAAGGAGAACAGAATAAAATAATCCCTCTGTTTTTACTGTGGTAAAATACACAGACATAAAATTCATCATTTCAACCATTTCACTGGGGCCCTTGGTAAATTCAAAAAGTTGTGCCACATCCCATGTTTTAGAACATTCTTACCACCCCACCCACTCTCTCTGTTTTAAAAGCTAAGATGCCAACTGCCTAAAAAACAAATCCAACAATTTCAATCAACCAGTGATCACAGCAATCAGTTCCCCAAATCTCAATATTTCATATTGACCATCACAAGCAAGGAAGAGATTTAGCGAAGTACTTACTGTACTTCTTTAGACATGAACAGATATATAGATATTTTAAAACATTATTAGATAAATTCTTATGTGGATAAAATACATTTGCAGTAATATTTGTGAAAAGGTGGGCAGGTTTTATTGACTATATTGAAATTTTCCTTAGTTGGGTGGAAGGTAATTTGACACATAGATGATTTTGAAGAAATCTGATTTTGTTGCTTTTATAGCCATAGGGCATCTGTACCAACAGAAAAGAGAAGGCAGGAATATATTTGATTATTTTACTTAATAAATAGAAAGATGTACTAAACTTAGTGAAATATGTCAGACAAAGACAGATAGTGTATGTTTTCACTTATGTGTAGAATCTATAAGATAAGCCAAATGAGCAAATATAATAAAATGAAAACAGACCCATAGATCAGGTAACAGACCAGTGGCTACCAGAGAGGGGAGGATTGAGGGGAGGGGTAAAATCAGTGAATGGGGATTAAAAAGTACCCATGACTAGGTATAAAATACCTAGGATGTAATGTACAGCACAAGGAATATAGTACTATTTTATATTAGCTTTGTATGGAGTCTAATCTATGAAAATACAGAATTACTATGCTGTATAACTAATATAACATTGTAAGTCTACTATACTTCAGTAAAAAAATAAAAACAAAAATGTAGCTAGGTAGATAGGTAGCTATAGATAAACAATAATATTCTTATTACCCAAGAATGAGAAGATAGAGACTATAGAATTATCATGTTATATATCAGAAAGTAACATAATGCTGTAAATCTGTTATACTTCAATGGACTTCCTAGGTGGCTCAGTGGTAAAGAATATGCCTACAATGCAGGAGACCCAGGTTTGAACCCTGGGTCGGGAAGATCTCCTGGAGAAGGAAATGACAACCCACTCCAGTGTTCTTGCCTGGCAAATCCAATGGACAGAGGAGTGTGGGGAGGCTACAGTCCATGGGGTCGCAAAGAGTTGGACATAGTGACCAAACAACAACAACAAATACAAGAATTCACTAAACCAGGTAATAGATTTGAAAATATTTCTTACATTATTCTGTCTATATTTCTTCATGTTTCTATTTTTTATTCATAAAAATATGAAAATTAAATAAATAAATTTAAAATACGAAAAAGGCATTCATCTAAGTCCATGAGGCTTCAAATTTGGGGGATTAGGGGTAAAGGTCAGATCCATTATTTCTGAAGTTGAAGTTATACCGTCTTTCTTATTTATTTATTTGGCTGAATTGGGTCTTAATTGTAGCAGTAAGATTTTCATTGTGTCTTGCAGGATATTACTTTGTGGCTCACGGGCTTTCTAGTTGCAGCATGTGGGATTAGTTGCTCTGGGGCATGTGGGATCTTAGTTCCCTGACCAGGTATTAAACCCTCATCCCCTGCATTGCAAAACAGATTCTTAACTATTGGACTACCAGGGAAGTCCCTACCTTCTTTCATGTGCATAATTTACTGGCATTATTATCACACAAAATGGGCTTCAGATTGGGTGAGACTGTGAATTCTAAGTCAGCTTAACATACTTCTAAGTCAGCTCTTTTGTCCTTGAATTTCTTCCTGGAGATGGTGCCCACACTTCACAGCCCACCCTCCTTTAGCAAGTCTTCCTACAGCAGTACCTCCCTCTCTCTTTCCTCCACCAGCTTTAACAATTACTTGCTCTGTGACCTTAGGCCATTTGCTCAAACTTTCTAAGATGTGACTTGAGTGTGAGGTGGAGGTAACAGCAGAACCACGCTCCTAAGTTATTCTAAGGAATGAAGGAAACATTGCATGTAAAATGTTTGGCACAGTTACTGCCAAATCTCCAGCACTGCTAACATTGGCTCTTCTTAGTTGTCATCTGCCTTAGAGCGTGATTATCTGACTTCTCTACTCTACGTACCCCAGGTAAGTAGACTCACAGAGTCTGACATCTTAACGACACCCTGGGTAAGTGGACTCACACAGAGTCTGACATCTGCATGACTGTCTTGTTCCACTCAGTATAATGCCTTCAAGTTTCATCCATGTTCTAGCCTGTGTCAGAATGTCACGCCTTCCTAAGCCTGAAGAATACTCCATTGTATGGATGGACCACATTTCCTTTATCCATTGATCCATCAGCGGACACTTGGATTACTTCTGTCTTTTGGTTATTGTGAATAATGCTTCTATGAGCACCGATGTACAAGCATCTCTTCAAAACACTGCTTCCAGTCCCTTTGGAAATACACCCTAGAGTGAACTGCTGGATCATCTGAAAACTCTTTGTGAGCTCCGAGGAACCAACAGCCTGCTCTCTGCAGCAACTGCACCATCTCACTTTTCTTTCAGCCACGCACAAGGTTCCAACTTCTCCACATTATTTCCAGCCCTTTCGGCCAGTTTTTTGCCTTCTAAGTGTTCAATAATTATCAAAGAAATAACATGGGATCAGTAGGTTATGATGGCTCTAATCTGACCTTTATAATTGGATCACACCTTTCCTTGAATTCTTGACTTCTAGCTTTGCACCTGCTAGCTGTGTAGCTTTGGGCAAATGATATGATTTGTCTGAACTTCAGTCCACTTTAAGTATAAACTGACGATCACAGCTTATAGGGTTCATACGGTTGCTATGGGATCTGAACAAGAAAACCATCATGAAATAATGTCATTTGCAACAACATGGATGGACCTACAGATTGTCATTACTATTATCATAGTAAGTGCAGTTAAGTCAGATGGAGAAAAATTTAATACCGCTTATATGTGGAGTCTAAAAAAATTGACACAAGTGAACTTATTTGCAAAACAGAAGTAGACCCACAGACACAGAAAACAAACTTATGGTTACCAGTGGGGAAGTGTGGGGGGGGAGACAAATTAGGAATTTAGGGTTAAAATATACACACTTAATATATAAAATAAATAACCAACAAGGATCCACTGTTCCACACAGGGAACTATACTCATTATCTTGTAAAAATCTACAATGGAAGAGAAAGTAAAAAGAAGGAATATATTTACATATATATATGTATAACTGAATCACTTTGTGGTATACTTGAAATGAACACAACATTGTAAATGAACTATATAAAAATAAAAGATCAACTTCAATAAAAGCAAAGCAAAACAAAATCATTACGAAGTACTTAAACAATGCGGCTCATGCAGAACTCAAGAAACTCAACCTTTGTTACTATTCTTTGAAAGAGTTTCTTCTCAAGAAAATGTTGATTATTTAAGGATGCTATCTTCTGCTAGTTTCATTAGTACATATTTTCATTTTTGAAATGTCCCTTCTTTTTACACTTGTACACACATATCTGTGTGATACTTCAGATATTTAATTTTGAACTGATCTGAAGGATGAAAAGTTAGTATCAGATTAGAGAAGTTCCTGGAAACAAGTTACCTTGAGAGGAACTACTTGTTTGGAATGAGGGGGAAGATAGGGTCACTTGATCCAGAAAAAGACACTTCATAATAAACTTGATGGAAAGAGAACAAAATTTTTTTTTCATTTATTTTTATTAGTTGGAGGCTAATTACTTTACATCATTGCAGTGGTTTTTGTCATACATTGAAATGAATTAGCCATGGATTTACATGTATTCCCCATCCCGGTCCCCTCTCCCACCTCCCTCTCCACCCGATCCCTCTGGGTCTTCCCAGTGCACCAGGCCCGAGCACTTGTCTCATGCACCCAACCTGGGCTGGTGATCTGTTTCACCCTAGATAATATACGTGTTTCGATGCTGTTCTCTTGAAACATCCCACCCTCGCCTTCTCCCAGAGTCCACAAGTCTGTTCTATACATCGGAGTAAAGAGAACAAAATTAATGGTGAGAACAGAACGTTCATTCTCCCTTTCTCGGGAACATAGTTAGTTCTCCGAATCTTAGAATAGTTCACAGAAAACAGACATCTACACTGGAGAAAAAGAAGTAATCCGAATCATATTTCTAAGCAGTAAACTGTAGAACTGCAAAATAAAAATTTTCATTTCCAGTATAAATTTGGTGTCTATTTTGCTATTGTTCCTTTGATCTGAAACAAGCAGATAGTGTTTTTCTTTAATGTAGTACTTGATCATTTTATATAATATATATAAATCTTTTTACAATTAGTAAAACAGAATTCTATTTATTAACTTAGGCAATATTGGGGAAGATGGATATGTTGCACTAATAGAAATTGTCTTAAAAAGTCTTCAAGTATTCTGTTGAAACCCTCAAACACATATGTATTTGCACACATATGCTTTAGCCTTCAGGAAACAAACACGGGTTATGTCTCTGGTGGTCCAGTGGCTAAGACTTTGTATTCCCAATGCAAGGGGACTGGGGTTTAATCCCTGGTCA